TAGAAATATTTATAATCTCATTGGTGTATTGTGCTTGAACATATGTGCAATTACTTTAAAGGTACTTTCAGGTAATGTATGATGATTTCAAAAAATAATTTAGCACCTCGGAGAAGTACATGTAACCAAGATTTTGGAAAGTTAACTTTTATTTGGAGATAAAATTCATTCACACCTCGTGGGGCGATGCATCAATGGGGTAGACACCAATATATCTAGAGATAGAGGAATGTAGTAGTTTATATAGTGATAAAAAAATATCAGCAATTTTAGTGACACCGTTAGTTATTTCATAGAGATATTTATCCTTTGTTAGTAGAAGTACCTTGTTATAAAGATCATACGATCATGAAGTTTGACTATATGTTGGGTCAGAATGTTTCTTAAGTGTTTGAATAAAATTAGCATTTTGCCAAATTAATTAAGAGGAATTTTGCAATAGTATTGATGTATTGGACTCCAACGACTATGAATGTTCTTATGAGAACGTTAAAACTAAAATGAAAGAAAATCTTTGTGTTTTTTTTATCAGGAATTTGTTTTTTTATATATATTTTTGTTGGGATTTGTAAAACGTTATTTCACTATTTCTATATAAGAACATCATTATGTTAATTCTAAATAAAAAAAAATCACATATAAGTTCATTTTTTTCTATATTTTACTTCATTTATGCAATGATATGTTTAATAAATAAATTAATTTATTTTACAAACTTACTCCACGAAAATCATTCGACACCACGTGCATCGCACGTGCACTTTACTAGTGTTATAAAATGAATATTACAATCAAGTGTAAATGACAGAAAAAGGCATTGTGTGTAGACCAAAAATATTAGCTACTATTTCCCTAAGTCCTATTTCTCTAATTCTCAATCAATTGCTTTCAAGTCTATTAGTTTATTGAGTTAAAATCTCAAACAAACCAACTTGATTAGAATTTATAGGTTTAATTTCCCTTTTTAATTTGTGCATTTGCGACTAATTAAGCAATTGAACTACAAACCATCCTCCTCCGAGAAGACGGCCGGGGATTGGATTTTCATCCATACTCGATAAAACAAATCTGTGCACAACACTTTTGCAACTAATTAAGCGATTGATTTTACCCATAAAAATAATAATAAGTATAAGCGATCGAATTCCAAATAGTCCTCTTTGAGAGACACAACTCCGGCTTGGTTAAAAACTCCATACTAGCTAAATTGAAATATACATCAACAATATCAATTTAAGCGACACCGGCAACATCCATTGTCATCCATTTTCAAAATATACGTACTTTTGTCTATGATAAAAATAAGCATTTTTTGACAAATAAGTATGCAAATATTATAAATATTTTTCTGCATACCTAGATAACTAAATAATTATCTACAAATCCGAGTGTCGACATACTTAGACGTTTTTATACTAATTATTTTTATATTCATGACACAATATTTATAGATAAATTAAATTTTCTATAGCTTTTATTTGTCAAATTGAAAAGGTTAGTAAATTTTACGAATTTTTAAACATAAGATTTTTTAATCTTATTATTATTATTATTATTATTAAAGAACTACATTTTTTATTAACAGTAACAGACATTAGGGTTGATTCATTCAACACAACACAAAATCGTTCCCACATCACATTATATCTCCTATTGAAAAGCTTAAGCAGGAGGCAGAAACAGAGGAGACTCTGTACACAGCCATGGCCGACGACAGATTATCCCAACTGCCAATACCTATACTTCACCACATACTCTGTTCCCTCTCCCAAGAAGCAGCCGTCAGAACATGTATTCTCTCCAAACAATGGCGCCACATAGGATCAACCCGTCCCAACCTCGACTTTTCCGAAGACTGGTTGAGCATTACACCAGAAAAATTTGTCTCTGTCGTCGACCGAATCATACAAGAATACCGTGATCAAAACCTCTCTATACACAAACTCCACCTCGAAATATCGAGCCCCGACTCACGACGGATCATCTCACTTCTCGACAAATGGATCCCGATGATAGCCGCCCTCAACGTAAAAGTGTTCAAACTCGACTGTTTTTCAGAAACTCGGGATTATTACGACCTGCCCTCGGCAGTGTTCTTAGCGGAGTCCCTCGAAGAACTACACCTGTGTCAATGCAGGGTGAGCCCGGTTGAGAGCGTGCAGTTCAAATGTCTGCGCAAGCTCACCCTCATCTGGGTCAAAGTTGATGGCGGCACTTTTGAGACGATAACTTCGGGCTGCCCTTTGCTCAGGAGCCTGGTCATTGATACTTGTTGGGGGTTGAGAAACGTTAGGCTGAGCGAGGCGACATTGCCTGGGCTCAAGCACTTTGAATTAGATAATTTCAAGAGGATCAAAGGCTGTAGCATCGAAATCAATGTCCTGAATATCGAGACAGTCCGCATTGAGGGCCCATGGATTTGGTCTAACCGTCAAAGCACATTCTTGTTCTCTCGTCTCACGAGTTTGCGTCTCTATTATGTGATCCTGTCGAGCGAGTCGTTTGACTTGTTATCATTCCGCTGCCCGATTCTTGAGAGCTTGACCCTACATAATTGCTCCGGTTTCGAGGAATTCCATCTTGCAAGTAATTCTGTCAAGTGGTTAAGAATCTCGACAAGCGAAATATTGCTTAAAGGAGCTAGGATTTGTGCCCCGAACATTCTCAATTTTACGTTCATTGCCCATATTTCCCAGGCACTGCACACGTTCTGTTTCACGACCACTACTTCCAAGGAGTGGTGCTCACAAGTAGTCCTCTCTTCGTCACATAAGGATTATCCCAATTTCCGCGTCGATTCGTGGTTCCTTGGGCTAAGACGATTGCTCAAGGCACTAAGTGGGTCTCGGATTTCCCTGTTTTTGCAGATGGACAACAGCTCTGAGGACTTGCCCTGGAGTGCTGTTCGCAGTGGCGAGCCGCCTGTGGTGGAGCCGCCTGTGGTGGTGCGGAACTTGAATTTTGCTACTTGTAAATGTCGCACGGTGTCTTGGTACATGGGATTTACGAATGCCTTGTTTCGTGTTTGTCAACCGAGTTACGTATGGGGCGGTAGCCTCGTGAGCGAGCCGGGCAGAAAATACAGGTTCACGGAGTTTCAGTTAAACATCTATCGTCTTGCAAACGGCAAAGTGAGGACCCCGCCCTACTTTTTGCGGCACAATTTGGAGCAAGTGTTTGTGGAAGCTCTCGACGAGCAACCATGGCATCTGATGCAGTGGTCGAACGAGATGGAGTTGCAAAAATGGGTGCAAGACGGGAAAATTGGCCTTCGATTGAAATGGAGATTTCAGAATGTATGAGGGCGCACCGGGTTTTTTTCTTCTTCTTCTTCCTCCCCTGACCAAGGCTTTGGTCTTGATATCATTGCTTTGAAACTTTCCAGGCCTTGAGGACTTGAATTCGTAATTTGAGCTTTTTCTTTTTTTCTTTTTGTTGGTTTTAACTTTGATTTATTTTTATTTTATTTTTTTCAAACTAGTATATATATGCCACATTCAGTACCCATAGTATACATTGAGAATTAAATGTCAGTTTTGATTTAATTCCAAATATGTTGTGTATGAGAATCAACTTAATAAAAGTATTAGAGATGGATAAACGAATTAAAAAATATGAAAATAATTGTAGAAATTATTAGCCATGGATCCGGACTTGAAGCGGACGGTGGTGGAGGACTTGGACCGGTTTGTAAGGAGAAAGGATAACTACCGGAGTGTGGGGAAGGCGTGGAGGAGGGGTTAATTACCTGCTGCACGGGCCACCGGGCACCGGAAACTCGAGCCTATGGCGGCAATTGCCAACTACCTCAAGTTCGACGTGTACGATCTGGAGCTCGCGAGTTTGTACTGCAACTCGGTGCTTAAGAGGCAGCTACTGAGAACGAATAACCGGTCGATTATAATTATTGAGGATGTTGATTGCAACACACAAATGCATGATAGGGATGGAGACTCGGACGACGACTACTACAACAACAACGAGTCGCGTCACGGGGTTACTTTCGTTTTCTTGCAGTGAAATTTCATAGTTCATTTTAGTTAAAAGCTAACATAAATTCAATGGAAGCATGCCGAACTTTGCATCATCTTTTTGGAAACAATTGACTTTACCGGGCATGCTGAACTTTGTAGACGGGCTATGGTCCAGCTGTGGAGACGAGAGGATAATTATATTCACTACCAACCATAAAGAAATGCTTGATCCAGCGCTTACAAGGCCCGGCCGAATGGACATGCACATTCACATGGGTTACTGCACGCCACAAGGCTTTGATGTCTTGGCCTCTAATTACTTGAGAATAAACGACAGTTCATCCAACATGTTTTTGAAATCAAAGAGTTGATTCGAGAAGTTGAGATAACTCCAACAGAGATTGCAGAGCAACGAGGACCACGATCTCGCCCTCGAGGGGGTGTTCGATTTGTTGAAGCAAAAGGAAGAAGAGAAGAATGTAGAAATCAAGAAGAGTGAGGCTAAGAAAAATAAAAACATTTTCAGAGCAAACCATTTCAGAAGTTCAAATTTACAAGGCAAATGTCGATTAAATAACAACTAGAAGTGAGTAAAAACAAACAGAATACAGCAGGTAAAGAGCATATTTACCAGTCTAAATGTGATAGGAGGCTGTTCCAGATGGTTGCGTAATATAAGACGGATAAATAGAATACCCGACCTTGTGTTTTCTTAAACAGACATAATTTTCTTCAAAGTCCGGTCGCTAATGAAGACTCGGTGGAGAGTGAGCTTACGCAGATGGTTAAGCCGAACGCTGTGAACTTTGTTCGGCTTCGTAGAGTGCCGGGGGTACGTCATAATATGGCTCAGTTAATGACGACAGAAATTTGAGTTGGCATTTTATTAAGGTTGGTATATTTGAACCCATTTATATATTTCACTTAGTCCAAAATTAATTTCCATATCCAATTTCAAGCCAAAGAAAACATTATTTGTCAGTCTCTTTATATGTGTGCAGCATTTTTGTTCTTATTATTACATTAAATTTTTTTTTTTTTTTTTTTGGCAACCTATTCTTATATCAAACACTTGACCCAACGTCATAACACTATCACAGCATACCAAATAGGCCTACGCCTTCAACTGGAGTTGAAAAAAACCGGTAAGGTCCGTCCATACGTCCTGTTTCGCAATTCTGACCTCTCCATTTTAACTGAAGGCATATATTCCCGTCATACGTCCTCTTTCGCAATTCTGAAAGGTCCGTCCACTCCACGAGCTGCCATATTTTCCCAACGACGGTTTTCACATGCACTTGCTCCAGATCGTGCCGCCAAAAGGTCCCGAGGCTCATGTTTGCAAGCAAGATGCTGAACTGAAGTGTTGAGAGCCTCTGGTTCCTAGCCACCTCCGACTCGCACACGAGCCTACAACCCCATACCTGCCTCGGTCGACAAACACGAAACAAATCATTCATAAAGTCCGAGTACCAAGATTCTGTGCGATATTTAAAAGTTCTAAATTCCAAGTTCGCCACAACCACAGGTGGCCCGTCACTGAGAAGATGACTGCCTTCAACAGCACCACATGGCACGTCCAGAGGGCCACTGCCCATCTCCAGAATCAGAGAAATTCGTGACCCACTTAGTGTCTTGAGCATT